ATATTTGTCCTTTTGTGACTGGGATATTTCACTCAGCATAATGTTTTCCAGAGTCAACCATTTTGAATAATATTGCATGAGTTCCTTGGTTTTCAATGCAGCATAGTATTCCATTGTTTGAATATACCACAGCTTCTCTATCCATTCATTTGTTGTTGGGCACTTTGGTTGCCTCCAACTCTTTGCTATTGTGAACAAAGCTGCAATAAACATGGGTGTGCATTTATCTGGTGGGGTGGCAGTTATGGTTTCATTAGGGTATGTTCCCAGTAGTGGAATTGCTGGGTCAAATGGTATCTCTATTTGCAACTTTTTGAGAAAGCTACATACAGCCTTCCTTAGTGGTTGTACCATTATACAGTCCCATACACAGTGAATAAGGGTTCCAGTTTCTCCACAACCTTGTCAGCATTTGTTGTTTGCTGTTCTGTTAATTTTTTCTTATGGGGATGAGATGATATATGATTCAATGTTTTAAAAGGGAGAAAAATGGGCAATCTCCTCCTGTGCAATTTATTGCTTTAGAACACCTGCTGGAGGATCAGGTTAGAGTTAGTTCCAGCTCAGCATGACAAATACATTCATATTTCAAATTGTGTGTTTGAAAACATACAATTGAATAAAAATACAGTGTTCAGTGAAAAGGCTTACTGTTGATCACATCTCTTCCATCTATCTATTTTCCCCAACACTCTATCCAAAGGCAAAAAGGACCCCTTTTGTTCATTTCTTGCTTGTCCTTCTAGGAATGCTTTGCACAAATAGAAAAAGTTATGGATATGAATTTTAAGCGAAATGATAGATAATGTTATATACATAATTTTATAAACTTTTTGTGGAGTCTTTTTAAAAAATTGTTATTTGAAAAGTAAATTATAGCTTAGAGATCTTTTTGTATCAGTAGTAATAATGATAACAATAAATAACTCTTACTACATAATCTATAACCTTACAACATGCCAGAGATTCTTCTGATTGCTTTGTATATATTGACTCACTCATAAAAAATATTCGCATAAGGCAAGTGCTGTAATTAATTCTCATATTCTAGAAAGGAAAACTGAAGTATACTTCCAAATGAACCAGTGATGTCCTTTTAAATTAATGACCCTCCAAGAAAAGAAACAAAAACATCTATTTGAAACACTGGTCAAATTCTGTGGTGTAAATACTACCATCATAGCTGATTCTAAGCTACCAACATGAAGACACTGAACGTTGAGTGAAAAGGAGATGCTTATTTGAAGACTATTTATATAGTGGTATTTCCATCAATCAGAATACCTGGTATGAGTAACTTATTCATGAATAACCTAGTATCTAGATGTTGTTAGGTATTGTTTTTAGTTGTCATGGGGTTGGCTCTGATTCATGGCCATCATATGTGTAACAAAATGAAATGTTGTCTAATCTTGCACCATCTGCATGATCATTATTATGTTTGAGCAGTATTGTTGTTGTTGTATGCTGTCAAGTTGAGTATGACTCGTACTGACCATATGAACAAAAGATCTGATCCCTGTTCTATCTTGTGCCATCTTCACACTTCCTGACACATATGAGCCCGTTGCGATAGTCACCATGTCAGTCTATCTAGCTGAGGGTCTTCCTCTCCTTCATCAACCCTCCAACCTTCCCAACATCATGTCCTTCTCCAAGGAGTAGCCCCTCCTAGCAACAGGCCCAACGTATGTGAGGCAAAGCCTCATCATTCTTGCCTCCAAAGATCACTCCAACTGCATCTTCTCGAAGACATATCTGTTTGTTCTCTTGGCTGTCCATTGGATGTTCAGTGCTCTTCTCCAACATCACAGCTCAAAGACGTCAATTATTTTTCTGTCATCCTTACCCATTGTCCAGTCCTCAAATGCATAGTGAGTGATTTGAAAAACCATGACCTGAGTCAGATGCACCTTAGTTCTCAAACTGATGTCATTACTTCTCAATAATTTGAAGAGGTCTCCAACTGCAGATTTTCCCAGTGCAATGTGTCTCCTGATTTCCTGACTGCTGGTACCAAGAATGTTAATTGTTGATTAAAACAAGATAAATGAAGCTGTTGATAGTTTCAATCTCCTCTCCATCCATCATGATGATACCTATAGGTCCAGTGGTAAGAATCTTTTTTTCTTGACATTGAGATGCAGTCCACACCGAAAGCTATATTCCTTGATCTTCTGTAACAAGTGCTTCAAGTTCTCCTCACTTTTGTGTCATCTGCACAATGCAGGTTATTAATGAGTCTCCCTCCAATCCTGATGCCACACTCTTCTTCATAGAGCCCAGCTTCTTGAATAATTTCCTCAGAATACAGATTGAATAGGCATGGAGAGAGAATACAACTCTGACACACTCCCTTCTTAATTTTAAACCATGCAGTGTTCCCCTGCTCTGTTCACACAACGTCCTCCTGGTCCAGGTAGAGGTTTTGCATGAGCACAGTTAAGTGCTCTGGGACTCCCATTCTTCTCAATGTCAG